GTGGGCATCTTTTTACCAAACGCCGGCCCGTTCTCTGCTGTGTTCGCGTGGTCGAGTGTCCGATTTGTGTTCCAGGCACTCGACGACCAAACACCGCTGGGCGTTCGTATGGCAATATGGCCGCCGCCACGTGTTCGCATGTCGAACGGCCCCCACCCAGGGAATACACAGTGCATTTGTGTAGTTAGCAATTAGGGTGGTGTGAAGAATGATGTAGAGGGTAAATTAGAGTCACACTTCTCTCTGGGGTGGTCTGGTTGTTTGGTAGTTTGTTCGTATGTCGAACGGAGGTATGCAACTTTGTCTCTTTTGTGTTTTTACCGAACAACCAGACGAATGCTTAGGAAATACATTGTATATATGCCAAAACCATAGTGAATAATGTTGCAAATATGAAAAGTTATGGACAGCCAAACGTAACCCGCTACAATCTTTACCAAGCTGCATCTGAGGGGTGCATACAAGCTAATACGCATAAAAGAGGGGCATGAATGGAAAACAGCCTGTCACACCAGATGTAGGCATTATGAATATGTAGTCATGCCTTTCGGCCTATATAATGCTCCGGCGGTTTTCCAAGATTTCATAAATGACGTCCTCAAAGACTTCATACATTCATGAACCACTATGTTTGCCCCCCTGAGGCAAGGAAAGCCTTTGAAGCCTGAAAAAAGCTTTTGTATTGGAAGTAGATGCTTCTGAGGTAAGAGTAGGAGCTATTCTTTCCCAGCGCTTGTCCCCTGACCAGCCTTTGCACCCATGAGGTTTCTTTTTGATTTTTGTTGCCACATAATCTGATTTTCTCTTTAAGTGCTAGGCCATTTTTTAGGCATTTACACTTTTTTTGTAGTATAATTAATATGTTACAGGGACTTCATAGGCTATTTGACTAGTATAATATTGCTGTGGGGTCTTACCAGGTTGTTTGGCTGGTATAATTATGCAGTGGTCTGATAAGGTTGTTTGAGGGAGAAAATATGAGTAAAATCACCTTTAATCTCTGGAGAGAGGGGCCATGATCCTAACGCTTCACTCCAGCACTTTAGTGTCAAAAATAAATGTTTATGTTAGTAGCCAGGCCTTAAATGTTACTTGCCACTGCATACCCACCACAGGTAAATTTCTATTCATCCAAAGGCAAGTGGAGAGGGGTAAATCTCTATAGATAGTAGACATGTGTAATTTTTTTCGTTCTGAATGTAAATTCGGATGAATTTCGGCAATTCGGACATTCGGATGCTTTCCGAAGTGCCGAATTTTGGAAGTGCTGAACTGAACCGAATTGCTGAAGTGCCAAATTACCGAATTGCCAAATTTCGGAAGTGCCGAATTGAATTGCCAAAGTGCCGAATTTCAGGAGTGTCAAAGTGCTTCCGATTTCTGAAAAGGGTTACAACAAGAGAGGGAGAAAAATTATGTGAATGATGACAGGAATCTAGACCAATAAGCTAATTCCTGGCACTGGGAGCCCTATAGATGTGTTATTAGTGGTGGAGGCAGTCCGGGCACCTAAGCCTACCCCTAACTCTAACCCTAGGGCATTAGGGGTTAGGGGTAGGTTTAGGGGTTAGG